CTAATTCTAACCTTTTTCTCCCCCTTTTTATTTTTTTTCTGGTGATTTAATCCCTTTTATCTAAATTCTAGTGAAATTGTAAAAATGTAGGCACCTTCTTTGGACTCCCAAGTCAATTTGTATTTTACTTTATGGGCTACCGAACGTTGAGGAGAAGCAAAGTGGGTGAGAAAGGGTATTTTTGGGATTCTCTACTTCATAGGAAATTCAAATGCTTTTTTCTTTTCAATTTATTTTGTTTTGAAATTAAATTTTTTTAATGGATTTTTTTCATTTTTGGGCTTTATTTGCCATTGATGAAAATGGGATCTTATCTCCTAATTTCTTCTCACTTTTGTTTTAAGAAAATAAATAAATTAGTAATTACACGAAATTATGATTTTATCATCAACAAATGTTATTCGATATATAAATATACTATCATTTAACTATAAAGTGTATTTACGAGATAATAACACTTGATTCATTAATAATATATAAAAACTAAATATCGACAGCACATCAAATTCAAACTTCTTTTATTAGGTATTAATAGCAAATGAATGATCTTTAAACTTCTTTAAAACCTCATTAAAAGAAAAGAAAACAAGATAAGATTTTTATTATCTTTTAATTTGGTATAGATCTCTTTTACTATTTATCTAATCCCACCTCCCTAAACTTATCTTAAGCTTACTTTATTAAAAAAAAAACAAAGGGAATTAAAAAGTTTGGTGCCACTAAGAATTGAAATTTGAAATGGTGGGCATTGTGGCATAGGCAAATAGAAAATGGTCACTTGCTTGGAAGAGAGTACATTTCTTTTTAACTTTTGGGGCATAAATCATATTTTTAATGTTATTTGGGTTTCACTCAAGGAGGGGGTGGTGGTGGTGGTGGAGGGGGAACAAGTTGACCAATATGGGCCATGCACGTGGACCAATGATAAGTCAAGGATCTCCCTATGTAATCAATAAGAATAATAATTCTATTCAATAGATTATGCTACATATTGAGGATGTGATGTCTACTTTGATTAGACAGCAGTTACCTACACTAGTGTAAGCTTATTGTACAAGCCTTTCCTTTCCCCCCTTTTTTTCTTCTTATTATTCTTTTTCTTTCTTCTAATAATCAAGTTGGAATCGTGGAGATGGGGACTTGTTCACAGATTGCCAGCTGTTTTTCCTTCTTTTCCTTCCTACTGTTTTATCCTTTCTGCCAGCTAGGAAATGGAGGATAATGAAAATAGAATTAAAATATAATAAAAAAATAATATTTATTATTTACATGGCATGATAATATAACAATTGATATATTCACATCATATATATATATATATATATATATATAAAAAATAACTGTTACGTGATTACTTCATATGTCACGTACACATTTTATATTTATGTTAACTGTTAAGTAATCATTTTATATATTATGTATAAAAAAATACAAAAATGTTATATATAAAAAAATTACATATTGACATTAAATATGATGAGATTAAAAAATTTGTAAAATTACAAATCAAAATATAAAGGTTTCATATTTGTTTTAATCATATTTAGATTGCTCCTTGCAACTAGAATGGAAGAAATGTGCCCTTTTTTTTTTTCTTTCTTGACTATTCTTATAATACTAACGTGCTTTGGGGTTTGGAAAGCAAGGCATTGTAGCCACAAATCAAGAATTGCAATGCATTAACGCACATGTCAATTCAAAACGGGGCTATAATTACATACTCAACAATTTCTTTGTCTTTTTATATATATATAAAAACAAGAACAGTTAACTCACCAAGAAGTTTTCAAAGATAATTGGATTCAATTGTATCCATAGCCATGGCAAATTGCCATTACACAACAAAAATTTACAAGGGTTCTTTCAAGTTTCAACAACAAGGGAGAAAAGCTTTCAATTTGGTTTGACTAATGATGTTAACCCCATCCCACTTTTCCAAAAGGAAAAGAATTAAATAAAGAAATGGGTAAATCCAGATTGATTCCTCAAAGTCATGGTTATTGGCCATTAAAAATTGAAGAGCATCCAACCAAAAGTATGGAGAAGCCCTCAAGTTATTCTCTCAAAAGGGTCAAGGCTGGCTGGTTTGATGACCTACGTTTGACCTTGCTTCACTACCCACAAGGCAACCACATTTAGGGGTGAGCTTTAATTGATTCGATCTTTTTGACTTTAAAACTTCAATCAAATTTTTATAAAATATAATCAAAATTGATCGAATTATAATAAAAAAACCAGAAAAAACCAGAACCAACTTATTTCCATCAATGGATTTTAACTATTTTGGAAACTAAACTTTTGAGGAAATGAAAGGAGATTTAGGGAGGATATAAATAAAATTTACTACTATAAATTTTAAATACCAAAAAACTAATAGAACTTGATTATTACCAAAGCCAAATAAACTAATCCAAATTAACAAAATTTAATTGATTTGATAAATTATTTCAATTTGAACAGATTAATATTTCTCTTTAATAATATTAATTATTTATTTTTGGAACCCCATTTTGTCAAAAAAAAAATCCTATTGGGCCTTTGAACCCAGAAACTTTTGTTTCTGGGTCTGTTGTCCAAAATAATACCCCAAAAAAAATGATCTTCATTGGTTCCATTAGATTATGGTACCAAAGATAAGCTTGTAAAGGAAAAAAAAAATACTTACCACAATATTTGTCTTGATTTTCCTTGTTAATTTTGCAGGTAGAAATGAATTCTAATCGAATCAGTGATTTACCAGAAAATCATCGGTGGACGGTGTTGATTCCCCTATCATTATTTTCTGATGGATCACTGACCGTCCAGAGTTCACTGCTATTTTCTTTCTTTGCTATAAGGGCTGTCCTACAACTGTGCAAACCTGAATCAAAGTCGCTGTGCAGATGGCTTTTTAAATAGAACACTGGATGAATCTTGACCGTCCACGATGATTTTTCCGCTTAATCATATCCGTCCAAATTAAGGTAAACTCAATTAATGCCACATTTGTAACAAATAAGTTATATATGTCATGCCTACCTAACCTCCCAAGCGTTTCCAATTAATGAAAATATTTTCTATTTAATGTATTATAGATGAATAAATTTTATATATTATCAAAGACCGTTATTTTGTTGAATTTTTGAATTTTTATTTTACACATTTACAAGATGATAATATTTAATTTATTAATAATATATGATATCTATATACTCACATTTTATTAAATATAAACCGAAATCATATCATAATGCTGTAACATATTAAATGGAATCATTAGATTCTTCGATGAAAAAGAATAATAAAGGATATGAATAGGAAAAGTATTTTCACAATAATTATGAATTGCATATGTTGGGGAAACATAGCTTAGCTGGAGGAGAAGAGGTAGGACTTTAGTAAAGATTCCCGTTTGAATTGTAAATGAAGAATCTAAATTTTTGTATAAAAGATGATTAAAAGATATATATATATATAATTATATATATAATAATAAAAAAAATAAATTTGAAAGATGACGGTCGCCACTCCTGCCACCATTATTCTGCCAAGTCGAGTCCCAATGCATTCTCTTGTAAAACAAATGAGTAAAAGAAAATTTATTATTACACAATGATATCACTCATTTGTATTTATATAAATAAATAAACATATTTTGCGGTTACAAATACATTACATTCCAAAAATTATGATTCTGAATAAATTATAAAAAGACACTTTCGATTATGTCATCGTATTTGTAAGATTTGTATACCGAATAATTGAGTTTATAACCTTTTTTTTAATATTTTTAAATATATCCATTACCTTTGTTCATATTTATATTATCTCTATAATCTAACAAATGTAAATTATGATAATTAATGTAAATAGAAAAATAGAACCAACGTTTAGGCTTCCTCAAGGTAATTTGAGTGAGTACACTTTGATTGGGTCAAGGTGCCCCATAAGGCTTTGTACTATAAAGTTTTTGTCAATTTAGTTTTTTTTTTATTTAAAAATTAATCAATTTAGTTCTTTATTTTAAAATTTTTTATAATTGAGTCCCTCAAATGTTATCCAATTTTATTGTTATTATTGCTGATGTGGTGCTGATGTATCAAGCTTTGTTGACATGCATGGTGATGACGTGTGCTTAAAATGCTGATGTGGTGATCACGTGATGTTAACATTAGTAGATAAAAAAAAATGATAACGTCATAAGAATTAAATCGAATAAAATTATAAAGTATAAGCTTAAATTGAATAAAATTTAATAATACAAGAACTAAATTAAACAAATATATATCATACAAGTAGTAAATTAAGTACTTTTATTATTTTCTTCGTTTACAGATCTAAGATCATCTAAAAAATTAGTGAAGAGGTTGAACATATATGTAAAGATTCATTTTTCTTTATCATTTATGTTCAAAAATCCACCATTAATGTAATTATTCCTTAAAGCTTTGCTATCGCACTTAGTTCATGGCCTTGAATGAAGTCAAAATTTTTCTGTGAAAGTATGTTTGGCACTACAGATATAAATCCTTCACTTCCTTACATTTTAACTATATCTTCTTGGAATATAACAGTTGCATAATTGCAGATTTTTTATTTGTATAAATCAAAACAAAAATGGAAAAAAAAATTAAAAAGTTTTCAAAGTCGCTTTTAGGTTTTTTTGTTTTTTTCCTTGATTTTATTTTCCCTTGTTTTGATGAGGTCAATTTTATTTGAGTTACAACTAAAAAACAATTTTCATTAATAGTACTCTACATTATTTATCAAAAAATAAAAACTTATTAGTACTATACTCTTATTTTTATATACACTTCAAAATTCTATTACTCAAATATTTTTTTTTTATAATTGAAAGAGGAGAAATTCAAATCTTGTTTTTTAGACAAATAAACAATGCACCAACAAATGAGCTAAATGTTTGAATGCTCTATTATTCAAATACTTGATTGTGGTTGTTTTCTTATTTCAAAACCCCTTTTCTATAGCATTATTTTCCTTTAAATTCGCGATAATTGTCTTGACAAGAAGGATTTCCAACGTAAGAATCCCCCAACAATTTGGTCTTTAGCTTGTCACTTGCTACTTAACACAAGCTCAATTTTAAGAAGAGAGAAAAAAAAAACTTTTAAACTAGTAGAACAACTTTGGAACATAATAACAATAAGAATACCCTTATGTAAATTTGCATGAAAAGGGAGAATGACATGACTAACCTACAAACTTGAAATCATCATAATGGTTGTTTCTTGATTTTATTTTTATGTCACAATGAATCTTTCAATGACATGAAGATCATATAAATGGATAACATCTAAATTCTCAAATGATTGAAAACCTCCTTTAAATATTACAAGAGAATATTTCTTAATGGAGTGTATATATATGTCTATGTACATATAATAGCTTACTTCCATGTACATATAATGTGTAAAATTACTTTTTTTTTTATACAAACCTAATGCTAAACAAAAAATTAAAATAACGATACTAGTGAAATTAGACGACGTTAGGGAGAAAGGTTCGATTATACTAAATCTCATAATAAAGGGATTAAATTGACTAATTTTGAGATAAAAGAACTAAATTGACTAGTTTTAAGATAGAAAACTAAATTGACGAAAACCTATAATACATAGATGATAGACCTATGGGGTACTTTGACCTTTTGATTGCCTTATGTAATTTCCCAAGTATTGATATCAACACCTAACTTAAGAAAAACAAATTCCATGTAGCACCATTCATGCAATTAAGTGGATTAAAAATATGCAAATAAAAGTAAATAAAATAAGAGAAATAACATTCTATCCTAATAGAACATGATACAGTTCATCAAATAGTTTCTTTGTAAGCTATTCAAGGGTTGTTCACTTGGATCTAAACATACAAGTAAAACCAGATGAGTGCCAAGAGAAACTCTGGATTGCAAATTTGGTTAGTCCTCATATCGAAAATTAGTCATCTCCCACTCATTACAAAAATTCTCTACTCATTTAATGCATCAATTAGTGTTTCTTTCAATTGTTTAAGATTTATAATTTAGAATTTATGATATAAACTTAAAGGTTTTTGATTGATAGTACGAAGCAAAACAGCTGACGCAAATCATCAAAAGGGCGTATATAGAAGAGAGCACTAACCGATGCACCAAGATGATTTCTATTCCACTGAAGCATCCATTTATCATCTGGCCCGAAGCCACTCCAAGCTGAAACGCTTGATATACAGGCTAGGCCAAGCAACAAAACACCATATTCTCAACTCCCTTCGTTCTTTACTTGAACACAATTACTCAAAGATTAAAGATTAAAGATGGCTATCTATGGGCAGATAAAACACATTAATGATCAATCCCATCATTAGAAACTTACCAGGCATAAGCTCAAAGCGGCAAACAAGGTTCACGGTATGTGTTTCGGGTGTCAAAAGGGATTTCATGACCACAGGTAGCTCCTGCACAGCATCCTTCATGGTATAAGCTTTGCCCTGTGTTCCTCTAAACAAATTGTAGCGTTTTTAAGTTCTGATGCCGGTGGGTGTGAAGAGGTTTACCATCGTTTTTGTCTTCATTACCCAGGAAAAGAAGGGTACACAAACATAAAGTTCAGGCTTCAAGGCCCTCTATACAGCATTAGAATTGCTTACAGATCAAAACAGAAGTAGGGAAAAGAAGCAACTACCATTTTAGTATGAAACAAAACTAGTTTCCAGTCCATCAGCATTTGAGTAAAACATTTTCAAAGCTAATTACTATTATTTACAGACCAAAACAGTCCAAAGAAAAGAAGGCAACTAGCATGTACAAAAACAAAATTCTCCTGGATGAGAATTTGGGCTTGCTTCACCTCTTCAATTTTGATGACGCGTGTCCATTGTCCATTGCGAGCTTGACCAAAACTATGACCTGCATCAATAAATGTCATTTTCCTTCCCTTTAAAGACACTGCCAGCAGAACCATTCCCCACTTTGTTCCATTTCCCCAAGTCAAGTTCTGGCTGCCCCTCAATTCTTTTCAATGAGAACTTGTAAACATATCTACCAAATTTCCCTCTTTCTTTCCAAAATCCAGTCACACGATACAGTCCATCATAAACAAACTTGTAGCCAATGTCATTCCCTTTAGCAGCAGCCACAGTAGTTGATTCCTTGGAAGTGTCAATGTCGGTTAACCTACGAATCACCCTGACAGGCGTTTTACTATGCATACTGTTCTTCAATGCCAGGTTTCCACCTACAAGCTTTTGGTCCTTTGGTTTCCTGACTCGGTCAAGGTTAGGATTTTCACCTTGGCCACAGTAAATCAACACGTCAGAAGTAATCCCCACGCCATTCTCATATCGACCAGAATCAACAATGCTTGTAGCCAGGGTTTTACCATTAATCAGCTTCATAAAATCTATCCCCTTCTGAAACTCATGGTGAAGCCCAACAATACTCAACTCACCCCTCCAACGAAAATCATCACCAACTTTAATCCCTGAAACATGTCCTATTTGCTTGCTGGTGTTAACCCATCCCCCCGAACTCTCAAGAACCCTGGCTGCTCTCATATGAACACCTATGCCCGAATATTTCTTTCCATCTGGGCTCTTTTCAGGTTCTTGTGACAGCTCGTCAAATAACTTTCTGTCGACTAGTAACTCCCTGTAAAACCTCAGAGTTTCCTCGATCTTTCGACGACTGGCATACCATTCTGCAGTAAAGGGCTCCTCATTGTCAGCACAAACAACTGCTCGGGGATTTTTGCCATCTTGTTTTGCTTCCTTACGCGTTGATGAAAAACCGCCATTTCCTGGTTTTGGACGCACCGCAGCCATGATAAATCCTGGTATCGTAACAAATCAAAAAAATGTTCAAAAACTATAAAGAAACTCGAGAGACCTTACACACACACACACACACACAAAGAAAGAGCACGAATTCCATTGTACTACGCAGACGGCAGAACAAGCCCTTCTTTACACGAAGTACAAGCAAAACCCTCATGAAAAATTCATCATGCAAAGCAAGTGACAGTGCCCAAAAAAGGAAAAGAAAAGAAACCAAGAAATTCTAAAACAAAGTTAAGAGTCGCGACATACGAAAGAGATGAAAATGACGATTGCAACACAGACAGAAAAGAAACCTTACACGATAAGAACAGAGAAACATTCAAAAGCAAAAATGGAACAACGAAAGCTTGAACGCTCTCACGCACAGTCAAGTCAAGCAAGTCATGAATATCACTACCCACAAAGACTTAAAAGGGATTTTACAGCGTAGCAAACAAAAGAGAGGAGGAGAAAAGCAGAGCGTAAAAAGAATTACCTCAGAAAACTTTTTCCCAGTGAAAGTTTTGTTGTGGAAACAGGTAGTAAGCAGAAGGGGATTCGTTTGCAAATCAGTTAATACGGATCTCAATTTTATTCTTGATCTCTTTACCATGACCGTTGATGTTGTTGAAATCCGAGTATTTGACTTTTGAGATGAAATGAACGGTGATGATGATGATGACATTGTGCGATAAAAATGTAGTGAATAAGACCTTTAACCAGTCACAGCTCCTCCGAAAGGACGTCAGTGTGTGACAGGCGCTTCTTTCACAGCAGTAAACTTTGTCCATGGCTGGTCACCTACGCAATCGAATTTCTTTTTCTATTTTTGTTATTATCTTTTTTATTCCAATTATTATCTTCATTTTTACTTTTTACCAAATAAATTCAATAAATCAGATCCCAAAAATAAATAAATTATGACTGATACGAAATTTATTTGATAAAAATAAAATATAAAAAATATAATTTTATTTAAATTTTCTTATGAAGGGTTTTTTAAAGTATTAATTTTTATAATTATTATGTTAAATAAAACATAACAAAATAAAAAATATTAAATTTATTTAATATCGTCGACTTTATTTCTTAGAATTTTTATTTTTATTATTAATTTAATAAAATAAAAAATATTATATATATAAATATATAAAATATTTAAATATTCGATTTCACACATATATATATATATATATATATATATATATTAGTGTGCAAAGATGGGAGAACAGAAAAAACAGAGGACGTTTAGGTTGCGAGTTCCAACGATTTATAATTTGTTAGTCAATGCAAAGGAGGAGTAGAACTCCACCTGTGACCTGGAACCAGGCTGTAGCTGTGAAGCTATTTCCTTCCTGAAATGGCGTTCGCGCGTGAAGATTGCAGATGGTCGCGCATCGCCCGATCAATGCAACGCGGTTTACATACCATTTTCTCCATAGACGATGATGACAGACACAGTCACCATTTCCCGAAAGCTTGAGATTAAAATGGTTATGTTCTGATACACTGTAAAAGCGTCAAAATTGTTTCTAGAAACGGAAATGCGTGGCCATGCTGTCAAAACTCATCTCCATATTTGTTTTTTTGGATTGGTTTGACAAAGTGGTGAGGATCGACGGAGAATTGATGGAAAAAGACAGTATCGATTGGGAAGCAAAATAGATCGAATCGAATTCCATTAATTCAGTTTGAATTTTTTTATCGGTATTAATCAATTAAGAGATGTGATTTATTCGATTCTTTCTATAGATTTCTTATATTTAAGATTTATAACCGAATCGATTATTAATAATATATATTTATATAAGGTTAAGTTAAAAGACATTTAAACTTTATTAGTGAAATATTAAGCAAAGTTTCATAGATACGTTTTTTATATTATTAATAGTCCAAATCAGATCAAATCGATTGAGATAAGTTGATTTTGATTAGTTTCGAATTTAGACATTAATTCAAACCATTTTAATTACATTTTACAATAATTTGACAAGTGAAATCTGAAAATATGATTTATTGCATTAATATTTTTGTTTTTTATTTCAAATTAAGTAAATTATTATATTTTTATTTTAAATAAAATAAAATTTTATAATTAATAATTAATTTAATTAAAATATTATATATTATTATATATCATGTGATATTAATATAATATATCAATATATTAAAATAATAATAAAATAGTATGATAACATGATTATATGATACTTTTCATATTTTATATTGATGTCATGTATATATAAAATGATAAATTACATTTTGATTAATAATTATTAATTAATTAATAATTATAAAAATTTATTTAAATTAAAATAATATTATACAAATTTTTTTAAACGCGATGAAAGAATAAAGATTTTTTTTAAATAATTAAAAAATTTTATCAAGCATTATGTTTCTAAATTAAATGAAAAAATGTGTGACATAACGACATCTAAGGGAATCGCTATGTTTAATTATGCAAACATTTCAACAATAATTATTTTAATTAATAATTATATTACGAAAACACAAGTCAATATTTGAAATCAAATATTAATAATAAAAAAAAGGCTATAATAAATGTTGCAAGTGCCTTTTCTCAAAATATATTAAAGCTCCCCTTTTCCATTTTTAGGCTTTTAGTATCAATCATTGAAGTTGAATAATCCCAAAATGACTAACTTGTCTACTTGTACGCAGAAATAATTAAAGCTAGAATAAAATTGAAACACAGATTCACATAAGCAATCACACAAAGAAGAGACAATATACGTGGCTATACTATACACCATAACTCCATCAACGGTACAAAACAGATTATATCAGGAGTAAGTAAAAGGTCAGTTCGATTGGTTCAATTTACTATAATTAAGAACCTAATGGATCAAAATTTTTAAAAAATCAACTGAATTTTAAGATAAGATTAAATCAATAGTCTTTAGTAGATTCAGTTATGAATTATAAAAATGAAAATTTTGTCATTTTTATTTTTTATAAGTTATAACATTGAAAATTATTAATTATATTTATAAATAAATTAATATAAACTAACATAAATAAAGAAAAAACTAATTAAACATACATAGATCATAAAATAAATAATTCAATTTTTAAGTCGATACAGTTTGAAAATTTGTCTACTTAAAAATTGGTTGAATAAATTGATAGGATTACAATTTTTGAATCAAAAATCAAATGGACTAAATGAATTTTATGGTATTATTTAAATTTTATTTGATTGATTAAGTCATTCAATTCAGTTTGTGTTTACTATTATAATAGAGTATATATTTGACTAGTTATAAAATTTAACCTTAATTAATCAAAACTTTGAACTTTCTTAATAATTCTTTATGAACCATATTTTATTTTTAAAATTTGGATCAAAGCATTCGGTTAATTTGGCTCTTTGTGGATGTTGATAAACGGTCAAAAGAATTCAAAACTTTGAAAAACTGAGCACTTAAATTTAATAAATAAATAAATGAAATAAATAATAAATATGAAAAAAATGAAAGTCAGTCGGTCCCTCTCTCTGAAAAGTTTTTAAAATTTGAAAACCCCCTTAACCCCTCCTTCGACGCGCGCCACTCACTCTCTGTACTTTCCTTTTATGTTTGTAAATATATTTCTTTCTCATTATTACTTCTCTCTCCTTGTCTCTCATTCAAGGCCAGATATTTTCACTGAAACATAAAGAAGCTCAGATCTGTTTCTTTATTTATCTTTCCTCTTCCAAAATCATAACTGTAAGCTCTCTTTATTCGCTTTCTTTGATTGTATTCTCATGTCTGAAATGTTTCAAGTTTGATTGTGAATTTGGAATTCTTTTTTTTTGGTCTAAATTTGTGAAATGTTATCTCGTTTTGCTTGAATTTCAGTTTGGGTTTATCTTGAAATGATCATATCTCATCTGGGTTTTTCGAATTCTTTGCTTTTGAGCGGATTTGTATGCAATCGTAATTTTTTTTTTTTTGGTTTATGTTTCTGGGTTAACTCACAATAAAAGTTTCATTTGAGTTCATTTTCTGTTTCTCTTTCAAATTATAAGAGTAAGCTTTATTCTTCATTTTTTTTTGTTCTGTTCATTCACTTTCTTTGATTGTATTTTCATGTCTGAAATGTTGCGAATTTGATTGTGAATTTGATTTTTTTTTTTGGGTCTAAATTTGTCAAATGTTATCTCGTTTGCTTGAATTTCATTTGGGTTTACCTTGAAAAGATCATATCTCACCTGGGTTCTTCGGATTCTATGCTTTTGAGTGGATTTGTATTCAATGGTAATCTTCTTTCTGTATCATTTGAGTTCACAACTAAAGTTTTAAATAATTATATTAAATCTTAGATATATATCATTAATTTTAACCTAGCTATCAGAAAAACTGATGTAGCCCAGGCGAGAAAAATAAGCATTAGAATTTTAGCATTACACTATTTAGAGTTTTGATCTTCCCAGAACCGCACTGAATAATGTTCCATTACTGTTATGATGCTTTTTGGAGGTGAATGTTAATGGTTATGTTCTTTCTATGGTCTTAGCAAGCCACCAAATAAACAGTGTTTAATTTCAGAATTAAGTATGTCAACGAAACAAAGGGAAAAAAATTAGGATTGAAATCATCAATTTCGGAATTCAAGCGTGTTGCCCTCTTAACAATTAGTTGATGGATTATACTTTGATTAGTTATATGTTTATTATGTTAGCTTCTACCATAATCAATTATTGACAGTTACCTGTTTGATAATTTGTTCTCAGAGAATGGACTCTCTTCCTGATGCCATTGTTCAGTACATTTTGTCACACTTGAACAATGCTCGGGATGTTGCAGCTTGTAATTGCGTATCCAAGAGATGGAAGGAGTCATTGCCCTACCTTAGAAGTCTCTATTTTCCTCGCAACTCCTTTGATAGCCACTCTGGCAGTGATAACCCAGACACCATTGTCTGGAAAATGCTTTCGACGATTGTATGTTTAGAGGAGCTTGTTGTTTACAGTCCTTTCACCAGTGCAGGCCTGGCCTTGTGGCTATTGCTGGTGCATTCATCACTCAAGCATCTTGAGCTGAGAATGGATAATATTACTGAATATCAGGCATGTCTTGATAGCCCTTCCAAATTGGACTGCATTAGTGCAGCTAAGAATTTGGAGTCTTTGAAGCTCTGGGGTGTGCTGATGGTTAATCCACCCAAGTGGGATGTTTTCAAAAACCTTCGAAGCCTCGAAATTGTTGGAGCAAGATTGGAGGATCCTGCATTTTCTGCTGCACTTAGGGCATGCCCTAATTTGACTAACTTAGTTCTGCTTGGTTGTGAAGGGGTTAGATCAGTTTCAATTGAGTTGCCATATTTAGAGCACTGTAAGCTGGACTTTTATGGCTTGGGGAACTGTTCCCTTTCCCTCACTTGTCCGAAAATTGAACACCTCGAGGTGCAAGGTTGTAGTTGGATTAGAGTTCGTGAGACAACATGCTTGAGGAATCTTTCAATTGCAAACAATGCTGGTACCTATTCCACTTATAATTCTAGTATTCTGTCTTGTTTTTATGCAGGATTTCTTTTTGCAATAAAGAAAGAGAACTAAAATTTGAACTGAAATTTTAATTATTATTTTGCTTTGTGATGCTTTCAGGAAGAGTATACATGGTAGACTTTGGGAAGCTTTCAGCCCTTGAATTCTTGTCCATGAGGGGGGTCCAATGGTGTTGGGATGCAATAAGCAAAATGCTAGAATGGTCTAGTGAGGTGAAGCATCTCTACATGAAGGTTGAATTCACTGGAGATTTGGAGACCCTTTTACCCTTTCCTGAGGTTGACTTTGTTGAATTTTTTAATAGCCATCCCAAGCTGCAAAAGTTTGATATCCATGGAGCCATGTTTGCTGCACTTTGCCAGAAAAACAGCCTGAAAAACGTAAGTCGATGATCACAGTGGTATTATTGTTGATTCTCTGGCCTAAATTAACCTTCAAGATTTCATGTTTTACTCAAGAAAGAAAAATTTGTGTTTGCAGGTGGAACCAGGCTTTGTAATTCCATGCCTAGAGGAAGTGGTGGTCCAAGTAAGATCACCATTAAATGCTGAACAGAAAATGAGCACCCTGGAGTCCCTTCTGAAGTATGGGAAAAATCTGAAGACAATGGTAATAAGGATTCTTCAAATGAAGAGCAGCCATAGTAGCACAGATGACTTCTTCGATGAGATATGCAGGCTTAGGTTTATGAACCGCAAAATAGTTCGAATTGAATAAAGCTGACAAGGGGGCACTCTCTCTTTTCTTTTTTTTTTTTTAAGCTCTGCATTGAACAGTTTTGACTGCTAATTTTAAGCACAGATCATTGCTTAATGATGGTTTTCAGGTATCTGATTCTCTCTATGTTTCATTGGGGACCTGCAGATTGATGTTTTTAATGATCAAACCTTTTTTATTTATTTTTTAATGATCAAGTCTTACAGAGATTATATCTTAATTACAGCTAATACCACACATTTAATTATTAAATAATAATATTAATAAATGATAGGCACAGGACAAGATCCACAAGCAACGAGCACGATTGAGAATAGAAAAATAACAATAAGTACTTTGTCGCATTCATTCATTGGAGAGAAGCAACGAAAATCCAACCAGAACACCTAAGCTTTTTGCTCCACTTTTACATCAAAGAACGTGCTGATTTATATACACATACATACATACAGACAAACATATGTGCATATGTACGTACGTACCTAGAAACTGTTGCCATTGGTATGCAAATCGGATGGAAAACAATTCAAGAAAAATAAGGGTGGGTGTAACATGCGGTGTATGCATTGGACCTGTCAGTTAATGATGGAAAAGGGAAACATTTCTCTTCATCATAGTAAATGTTAATACTCTTTTAAAGTTTTAATGGTATCAAAATTTTCCTTCTGCAACATACATGAAAAAGAAAAATAACGAGAAAAGAAAACAAGTTTTTTTGAATTTCCTCATCTACTAATCACCGTTTAGATAAGCTTCTTCTTTTGGAAGAATCTCTTCAAGTACCATACTTGCAGACCCGAAGCAGCGATGCAGATACCCAAAGACATAATACTAAACCACGCAACTCTGGAATTTGTGGTCTCGCTGACAGTCCTCATTTCTGCTTCTCTGTTATCCAATAAGGATGAGAAATATGGAGGATGTTAGCTACTTTAAAGAAAGGCTCAAACTTTGAATGCACCAGAACAGAAACCGTAAGAATTACCTGCTTTTCAGATAGAGCAAGTTCTCATGAATGGCCTCCACTGCTCCTTCAAGTTTCCTCAGCTCGAGCTCAACACCCTATATGCAAATAAGAACGATGAAACACACAAATGCGTACAAAAAGGAGCATATAGACATGGAAATATGAGAGAAAGTTTGACAGCAACATAAATATGGTAAACTCATCAGGAAGCTCGAACCAATTTGTTAAGTAGAAGTTGTCATACCAACAAAAGTTATCAAAAAATCCCAAGGTCATTAAAAAATTTCAACTTAGCAAAATAAAATTCTAAGCTTTGTTGCATAAAATCAATTCCTCAACCTCACCGTCAAAAATTCCACATAGTTCTGTGAAATCAACAAATACTATATGAATTCCTTTTGAGTTTTGAGCAAAAGTTGATTTGTATAATTTCTGGCATAGGAAAAATTGAAGTTCGGCAATCAAAAACTTCTGCTGCGAATTTGATACTAGGACAAATAAAAATTCATTAAGCATGATCATCTCAAAAAACCATTTAGAACCAACAATCAGTCTGCAGTGGGAGCAGGAACACCCATGGTTTCCTTTCTAAATCCAGACAAGATTTAAGGCGAAACAAGGAACTTCAAAACTGCTCACCTCAATTTTTTCTTTTCTGGCAACTGATTCCCAATCTTTAGCTGCAATCCCGGTTTTCCAGTCAATGTTGACACTAACATCTCCACCTCCATGAGCATGGCCATCCGACCAGAAACATGCCAGGTAATTACCAGCCTCCTGAGTTGTGAATGCAAATTGACCATGCGTCACATTCTCCTTGTGATGAAGATTGTTCCCATAAGGAGATGTCACCTATACCGTACACACTGCATGTTAGAAATTTGCTGCAAGTAAATTATGCCTGAGGATGTAAAACTTTCCGTGGGATGAGTCACTGGGTTTTGCAATTTCCTTTCCATAGACTTGAAAATATATTGAAAAGAAAAACTAATGGACAGTAACTGAACCTCTGCTTCCAAAACATGGTTGAATATCTACAGGGTAAATGTGGAGATAAAGAAGATGATTCTACATTCATCCTTAAATTTCATTCTTCCAATATCCTACAGGATTATTTTCAAATGATGAACTCAGAGAGATCAACTCAACGGTTCCAAATAAATTCCATTGGATCCCATGAATTCAAATCTCTATCTTTCCATAATTTGCTAATAGTTCAGCTTATAGCTAAAATGGTCAATTTACTTCCCCTAAAACGAAATAATGCTACATCTACATAAAAAATAAGCTATTTTAAGCACAACAACCAACAAGCCCATTTCATTCCAGAACTATGAACATGAAAGTCAGACCTTTCACCATTATTCCATTTATATGAACAAAAATAACAGCAAAAATTTAAAATTTTTATTGATTTTTCCTCACTTCTCCAAATTTTACTTTTAGCCGTATTCATTACTTATTCATCCAAAATTTCTACTAATCTTGGCCTAGCAGATCGAAAGGGGAAATTTCGGAAGAAGAATAACCTTGACGGAAATGGTAGGGATGTGACCGTGATCCTCAGAAACCACAACATAGTCAGCCAAAACGACGACGTTGCTCTGGATTTCCTCGGAGACGCACTTGGTGCCGGAAGTGGGAAGATTCAACCATATAGCGTCACCCACCGGCGCATTACTCAAAAAAGCCAACAGCAGCAATACCACGATTAACAAAGATGGAAATATCACCGCCCCGCGCACGTTAGCATCCCCCTTCATCTCTCTCTCTCTCAACGAATTTCTTTGCTTCTTCCTTCCTTCCTTTGTTCTAGAACTTCGAGGTTTCGTGGGGGCTGAGATCGGAAAACGTTGAAAGACGGGACTTTGACGAGAGAATTACTTCGGATTTGGATCTGTCTTCGACTGTCGAGCACCAAACCAAAGACGCAACGGCCAGCTCCGCCTTCAGTTTCTTCCTTTGCTTTCTTTATTGCTTCCTTTTTTATTTTATTTAAAAATAAATAACAATAAAAAAATGCTTTGACCATTAGCCAACATTAAATGCCAAAATTATTAAAGTGGAGTACATTTTTTTCATGAAAACCATCATGTTTGTAATAAATTATTATATACTACCATTATCTTTTTTAAAAAATAAAATATATTTATCTTACTCTAAATTTTAGAAGAATTAAGATTAAAATTTTAATTTTGATGTATTTTATATTAAAAATTTATTTATTCAATATTTTTTAATATAAAAAATAAATGTATAAAATAAAAACAATAAGAGCATTAAGTGTTTTAAAAAATAGAATTCGTTTTAAAATATTTTAGAAAAAATGGAAAAAATATATCTTATAATAAAATTTATAAATTAATACTTTAATAATGGTGAAATTATTTTTATTCATTTATGTTAAAAACAACTTGTAATAGTAATTTTTACTATTAATAATAAAAAAACCCGAGTAAAAAATTTTAGGTTTGAAAATGAAATTATTTTTTAATGAATCTGAAGCTATAAAAAATTAAAAATTTTTAAATGTCTTAAATAAATTATTATTCAACTATTACCTCTGTAACATACTAACCATTTTATCATTTTTTGTAAATTTTTGTTTTAATGTTTTGGGTTTGTTCATTTTGTTGGAATTCTAAATCAATAAATATTATTACACTAACTAATTCTACCAGTCTAAAGGCATAGACAAGACCACCGGTCCAAGCCCAACCCTCAAGCGCCCATGTAACAGGCTGGCTTCATTTTGAGCCTGGGCTTCGTCGGAGTATTAAACCTTTTGGGTGGCTTTAGCAGAAAACTAGACCGCATCAGTTTCCGGCCTAGTCATCGAGTTTTCAGTGAACCCGATTTGAATTTGGTGTTAAAAGTAATTTTATTTTCGATTTAAATGTTAAATTTTTATCCACATGACATATGGTATGTTATCTCTCACGTGCAAAAAAAATGTTATGTGATATTTATTTTTACTGTCGTTAATATTTTATTAAATTGAATTACAGAGGAGTAACTTGGTAAGAACCAACATAATGTACTTTTCTAAAGGGCAATGGATTGTATGTTCAACGGTCATTGAAGGAAGGTCCCCATCTACCATCTTTTTTGTTTGATATAAGAAATTCCTATGTGCTCTCGTGAGCTGTCAAGCCTTCTATTTCCAAAACCCATTGCATTATTGGTAGGCTAGCATTGAACAAACCTTGCTCTTTCCATCCAAAGGATTCAAAAGAAGACAGCAGTGTTTGATGCTTGAACAATGTCAACTGGCCATGACCCCACTTTTCATTACGTTACAGATTCCCAATCCTATTGATTGAGATAAGGCCAGCCATCCACATCTCCCTCCACCACCTTCTTCACAATCACAGTATCACACAAAATGGTAATGGTTTTGTCCTCCTTTGGGATTAAAGGCTCATTAAATGAAAAAGTGTATTCCCAACGGCCCAATGGCTCCCTCTTTAGCCATCTAAAGCTAGGAAAATCTAGAATAATCAAGGATTGGATTACTATAAGAATGGGATGATTAGGGAATAATATACTTTCTGTTCATTATATATATTTTTAAAGTCTTTCTTCACTTTCCGATGGATTTTTTTTTAAATGTTAATTTAATGAGTTGTGCAGTATTTATGTTTATAAATTTATAGTTTTTTTTTAATTTATTTAATGTACGGGTTGAATTATCTTTATCAATTGTACGTATTACAACGATTAATTCTAATATCATTTTATCACAAATTATTATTTTTTAAAAAAATTAACTTAATAAAATGTATAAGGTTTACACTTATAAAACTATGAGTGTATTTTTTATTACAAGAACCTACATTTATTCTTTTTATCACTGGTACATAGTTGACATATAGGACCAGAGTGGCCATTCTTTAAATGATTATCCACCCACTACCTTCTTTTTCCATGTACTGCTACTAACATTATTGCCTAGCTAGATCTGTCATTGCGTTCACACCCAACATCAAAAACATGGAAGCCCTCCTCTCCCAATTCACCTTCCTTTCAGATCAAGCTTTACAAGACAAGAACTTTGATCCATCGACCATCGAAGACCTGATGAAGCTCTTTGAGATCGAATCTTACAAGGCATGGGCGGCTATGGAACTTGAGCAAGAAAAAGAAGTGAAAGAAGCTGAAACAACCATGCAGGAAGCTGAGGATTATCTTGACTCTGTCATGGAAAGTGCAATGGATGAGTTTAGGCGCTTTGAGGAGGAAATGGAACGCAGGTCAAAGGCTGAACTGAACGGCCTGGAAGAGACCGCTGAGAGAAGTAGAAAAATGGGAAACTTGATGGAAAAAAATGCAACTATTGCCTCCAAAAAGTATATTGAGGCAGCAGTGAATTCTGCAACTGCTTCCATGAAATCAGCGTGGAAGGGGCTTTCCTCTAACAAGGTTCATCCTTCATGAAAAGCAAAATTTCTTTTGTATTTATAATTGAAAGGGCCCTTTTGGGTTTTCTTTCATTGTTAATGTTTGTTGTAGCTTGCATTACTTTTAAAAGTAGAAAGGTAAAGTAATTAAAATCCCCATGAACTGGGTTTCAAAAACATTGGCAAACCATGTTCCAGGAATAAGAGATTTGCTAAGATCAAGCAGGTAATTTTCCGTTCATCTTTCTGTGTTTTTTTGACTTGAATGACACCATGAACTAGCCTACACATCACAGATTCTTTCAATGACTTCAGCCGCCAAAGGGTTGGCAACTGTAAATTAATTTGTTCCTGTATATTATTAGATTATCTTGCCCTGATATTCCTACCCAAATTCTTCAATTTCCATGGCATTCAATCTGATTTCTGAGTACCCCTTTGCTTAATACCATGTACAGTTTCTTCAATAGTCACATTTTTCCAGGGAATGATCCTGTCAAAGGAGCTGTGTTAGTTAGTTTCTGAGGTCATGGATGCTTATTTGCATAGTTTTCCACTGATATGCCTTTTCTGCCATGGTCAGTGTAAGACTCTCCCTCTGCAAGAGTTGAGCATGAGCTGATATTTTACCCCTAGTAATAGAGCATATGTTGCAGATAAAATCAAATTTTCAGCTGCATTTACAAGCAAAGGCAACAAACCAGAATCATCCTACTCTTACCAGAAAGTAAATAAAGTAAAGATGAAGTAATCTGATTGATAAAGCTATGGATTCCCCACAAAAAGGCAGAAACAGGAACCGTCCATCCCTCAACAAACTTAATACTAGTAGCAAAGTCTGTCATGTGATCATGTCCATCCCATGTCTGATAAAATTTGAGCTCATTGAAGTAACAATCATCTCCAATTAAATAAAATCGAATAAATGTGCTTTCAACTTTCCCGATATGACATCTTGTAATTTTAATTTTTCCTATTGGTATAATGTGATTATCTTTTTTTTTCTCTATTAATATCTTGTAAATAATTTCCGTAAGAGGCTAAGTTAATCTATTCGTTCACATTTAAAGTTTTTTTAAATAATTTTATTGGCTAAAATTAACATTATAATCTCTTGTGAAAATAAAATTATCTATAAGGTACGAATCTGAAAAAAAAAAAGATATTCATGGGGTGTTAATTGAAACCAAAAATCATAAGATCATGTGAAAAAAAAAAATTATAAAAGATATAAGTGAAATTTACCTAAATAAATTTAAGGAAAGCAAATAAGTTGAGGAACACTTTGACTATCTCAATTCTTTTGGGTGCTTTAATTTTGCTTGTAAGGGCATAATTGATAAGATTAAAACTTCCAAGGACTAATTTCATTGATATATTCGTTCAACTTGGTCCTTCCCAAATCTCATCCCTCCATCATAAACCTTGCTCATCAGTCTCAAATTCTTCATATAATTTCAAAATTCTCTCTATTGTTTATGTTTTATACACATTTGATATAGAAAATTGAGAATTTTTAATGAAATTAGTAAACAAAATTTGAGAAATCAAATAAGAGGTAATTTTTTTTTTCAGAAAAAATAATTCATCACTTAAACACACTTGAACCCACACTCCCAAGACTGAAAATTTTCTATTTTTTTAGATAATTAAATAAAAAAATAAGAGTTGTTTAATATGCATATAATACTTTAAATACAACCTTAAGAATTGAATTATATTACTTACAACTATCTTGTGTTTGTTTGATTAACTCATAAATTAATAGTATAATAATTAAAAATTCTTAAATTATTTCAAAAAAGCAAATAAATTGTTATTTTAAACTAAATAGATATTTATAAATAATAATTAATTAATTTTAATTGATTAAAATATTTTTTTACTAAAGTTTTCATTGTCAATATCTTTCAGGTCCATTTCCACGTTCCCATTCCTCCACTAAGATCTTTCCACGTCAACATCTGGACGAGTCCTAATTTCCAATTTATTTTATAAAAAAAAAATAAAAAGAAAAATATAGTCAGTTGTTTCCTCGTCATCTAAAAGGCTATTTAAAGGCAGAACCTTTTTCTCATCTGAAGTTAGAAACAAGGAAGCCAAGGTGTAAAAGGAATTGTTGATTTCATCAAATTCAACCAAATTTCTGGTACGAGCTTTTTGTTCCTTTAATTTGATCTAATAAGTAATAGTATCAATCGACGAATTGGCTGTCTATTTTGGATTCTCCATGCGCGAATTTTGTGTAATTTCTCCAATCTAGGGTTTTGGTCTGATTAGGTTGTTGATTTTGGGGGTTTTTTTTTTCCTGTTGAGTTTCAATTTCACGCGAAGCGCGCCTTCTTCAGATATTTTATATTCTCTCTAGCATGTGCGCCTGCTCTAGGGTTAATTTTATTGGACTAAAATTAGCTGCTTTCGCTTCCTTTTGTTTGTTTAGCTCGAAAATCCGGGAAATTTAAGTGAACAAAAAAGGAATCTCGAAAAAGAAAAAAATCTCATCTACTAAGCTAATAATTTTCTGATTGAGCGATATTGGATTTTCAGGTCAATTTCATTGGGGATTAATCCAAGTTTGATTTTTTTTTTTATTCATTCAAATAATTTGATGTATTGACTTAGGAAATAAATATTTCTATTTTGCAGCAGAAACGTTTGATGTATTTAGTTTGATTTGCACGAACGGATTATCTTATAGTTGAGGTGATTAACTGATAGCAGATGCCTCGAGACTTGTCAAGATCCCGGTCTCGCTCGCCCTTCTATAGGCGTAAACATTCGCCATCTCCTGTAGGGCATAGGTATGGAAGGAGGAGCAGAAGGGACAGAAGCCGGTCGCCATATTCATCTTATTCGTATAGCAGGTGATCCCGTTTATATTCATGCTATTTAGGTTCATTTTGTTCACATGCAAGAACTTGTAAGGAATATTGTAAGAAAGATTGGGAACTCTGGAATTTGTCTTGCGGATTGGGAATACAATTTCTTCAAGTTTATCTGTACGCAGCCTATACTTATTTGTATATATTTTTGGTGCTTCTTCAACTTTACTGGAAAGATTATGTAGTTTGCTTGGTCTTTACAATTATGATTCCGTTTTTAAAATCGGATCCTCGCCAAGAATCTGGCAAGGAGTGGCAATTAGATTAGTTGAAGGTGCTGGTGCAGTTGAGGATGTGGCGTTGGCATTTTCTTGATCAGTGCTTTCAGTTTCACTTTTATTGCAGTTGAACCTTTTGGTTGTCTACATTTGGGTATGTGTGATTTTTCTGTTTAGAATGGCATCAATGCCATGACTTTGTTGAGCATCTTCATGGTTATAGATTTATGTTTAATGGCCACCATTCTGAGTATGAAGTGTTGCTGAATTATTTCAATAAAGTTTGATGGTTGTATTGCTCGACTTCTTCTAAATTATCAACATCTCAGTGGGCACCTGACATGTGAGGAACTTTCCTTTTGCTTGGAAAAATGGAAATATGCTAAATTCAAATACATTTGGAGCAAAATATAGAGAGTGAGATAGGATGCATGCTCTTTGTTAGAACATTAAAGACAGTTTCTTCCCATCACTTGAGATGGGAAGTGAGCAGGTGATGGGTGCCGATGGGTTCCTTTCGTTGCTCGATTCTGACATTATCTTCTTCGTGTCATAAATGATGGAGCTCAATGCATATCTTAACAATGTTTGAGGTAAATATATATGCTTTTTTATTTATTCTGCTGGATGGTGAGCTGTCTTCATACTTAGTTTGTGTAGCTAGTGATGCCCAAAGTCTATTGCTGTTACTCAATAATTTGTGTTATTGTACAGAAGGAAGAGTCGTTCTATTAGTCCACGACGCCGCAAAAGTCGTTCTCCAACCGCAAGACGTCATAAAAGTCGTTCTCCAACTCCAAAGCATTTTAAGAGGCAAAGAAGTAGGAGTTCTTCATTGTCTCCTACTCATAAATCATCTAGCCCAAGTCTTGGGTTGATAGAGCGCAAAAATGCTAGTGAGAAATTGAAAAAACAAGAGGAAGAGAAGAAAAGGTATATAAGATATTCTCATCTTTTTGCAGGCTATTTTAATTTTTCTTTTACAGTTCTTTGGGATCTTCTTGAAGTGTTTCCAGTCTACTTAAGTTTTGCTACACACATTTGATTTTCTGGAAGGTGATATACTACTGGATAGTTTTTGTGATAAAATTTGATATTTTGTTTACTGGGATGATGTAATACAACTCGTATGGGAAATTGGGAAGATAGAAAGTGAGGGTCTCAAGTGGGTTGTTAGGTCTTGCAGTAATCAAAACTCATCTTCAGGCCTTCAATGTTAGTCTTGATGGGCGAAGAGCATTTGTTGCATGTACACCAACCACTTTTGCCTTTTCCTTACCTCCATTGCTACTTAGTTTTATGGCATTTTACCAAGCGTAGTTGATAAGCTTGTTATGCAGGACATGCAATCATGCATCTACATAGAAAAGTACTAAGAAAGAGACCAGAGAGAGATTATTAATGTGCTTACCATTGTGGTCTTGGAGAACACAAAAGGAAAAATGTCTGCACTGTCATGCTTCTTAACTTTGTTGCTTTTGTTATCTACAGTGGTTGCCATTTAATGTTTTGAGTTGAACCAGTATTATTGAGTTATGGAATTGAATTGAAACTGAGCTGTAGCTTTGGTGGCAAGGCAGGGGAGTCATGCCTAGTCATGTTAGGTTTAAGTCCTGATTTTATTTTAATGTCTTACTGGAAAATAATTGCATTAAAATTTGCCTAGAATGGGTATTTAAAGTGATATGCCTAGCCCATTTTTTATGGAAAATGTCTTGTAATACTTAGAACTTATGGTCTTATTATGTCAGTTACTTTCAAATCAATTAGTTGAACCTGCAGGTGTAAAATCTTATTTTCTGTTTGTCCTTGACTATTTATGTTCATGTGCTGTTCTTATGTTCACATGGAAATTGGGTTTTCATGTGTTTGGGCCACCCATTTCAGTCATAACTGTTATCAATTTCATACAGTTTTACTTAAATATCAGCAATAAGCATTAACATACATTTTTAATTGAAAGGATTCTGATGGTATGAATGTATAATGAATCAATTAGTGGCTGGGATTAAGAGCTTAATTGATAATTGAAGACCTTTTTTGGAAACAATTGATAATTGATAATTGAAGACCTTACGAAATTTATTTACTTCCAGTGAATTATTATCGTAGAACAATAAGCATTATTATTTAGTTGTTACCCTTGTTATTCCTTTCATTGCCTTGGTGCCTTTATTCACCACTTATAAAATTTTGATGATGTCTATAAAAAGATGTAAACTTTTTTGTCGAAAATGTATTTTGGTGCAAGGTTTGAAGTATTATGGTGATTAATAAAATTGCAGCAAGGTACTTGACATTCTTCTCCACAGGATTTTCTGAAGGAAGTTACTGCTATAATTCAACATGTTATATTTGATGATCTGATTGGATGCACGTTTATCTACTGTTCACCAGTTTTGAAACTCTTTTGTTTGGATCAGGTTCGATTAGAGGTATGCCTTAAAAGCATAGCATATTTTAGTGCCTTTGTCGTCATGAAGGTTAGTTTGCCCATTTATTATAGTTACATAGTGAATCCAGAAAGATGGTGATAGAAAGAAAAAAAAAATGGGAAAAAGGAACATGGCTTGTCAGCTGCTTTTTATGTAGTGTTGTCTGGATGGAAAGACCTCTATAATGAAAGGTTGCAGCATTTTTCCCCAAATGCATTGGTGTCATTTTCCTGCTTGACATTTTCTTTTCTTTTCCCAGGCGTCAACAGGAAGCTGAATTGAAATTGATAGAAGAAGAGACCACAAAGAGAGTGGAAGAGGCAATTCAGAAAAAGGTGGAAGAGAGCTTGAACTCTGAGGAACTCAAGCAGGAAATTCAGAGGCGATTAGAGGAGGGAAGGAGAAGACTTAATGATGAAGTTGAAGCTCAACTTGAAAAAGAAAAGGAAGCTGCTCTTCTTGAGGCTAGGCGAAAAGAGGTAAATATCAAAGACAACAGTCCTGTGAAATGCTTGTCTCTTGTTGTTGGATTCAGTTATTATTTTGTATGCAAAATGGAATTGTTGACACATTGAATTGTCTGAAAGGCGAAAACTGTGACAGATGGGATGAATCATTTGTATAAAAGAATAACCTGGTCTTCAACTTGTCATTTCTGTCCCTAATGCCCTTTGTTGAAGTTTTCTGGTCAGGAAACCTTCTGTTATCGATGAAAACCATAGCATCTTGGTTATTAGCAGAAACTGTGGGCCTTAATCCAATGGCTTCCCACAGCTCACACACACACACACACGCACATATTGGCTTGTGGCCATGTCTTGATGATTTAGCCAGCATTCTGTTTGTTTATTCCCATTTTGTAATCAACCTTGACTAATTTTGGATTACAGGAGCAAGCTCGAAAAGAGAAAGAAGAGCTGGAAAAGATGCTTGAAGAGAACCGAAAGAGGGTGGAAGAAGCTCAGAGAAGGGAAGCACTGGAACAGCAGCGAAGAGAGGAGGAACGTTATCGGGAATTAGAGGAGCTTCAAAGACAAAAGGAAGAGGCCATGAAGAGGAAGAAGCAGCAGGAGGAGGAAGAGCGTTTAAATCAGATGAAATTATTAGGAAAGAACAAATTAAGACCGAAGTTGTCCTTTGCACTTGGCTCAAAATGATTTTCTCGGAAGAAGTTGATCTTAAGCTGTTCAAATACGTATGTGCTGAACTTGCATTTGTAATTTGAGGATGTACCATATTTTCAATTTTTCAATGCAGTTTTGAAGTTGAATCCTAATGCTCTTGCTCTTTACCTTTCTTCGAGCTTGTAAAAGAAGGGTCGGGGATTGGGTCGACATCTGCAAATGGGCCACAGCTTGACCTGAGTATAAAGCTCTTGACTAGTTAACTTGGAAAGAATTAAAGCCCAAACCCATTGAAGCTCGGTTCATGGGTGAATACAATATTTAATTCAATGATTAAAATATAATTTCTTAAAAAGTAGGATTTCAATCAATGATTGCTTTGAACCGAGGTTGATTGTAAAAGTAGAATTTCAATCTTGTTTAAAATAAGGTAAGTTGAGTTTTGAATTTGTAAGTAAACATTTTTTTTTCACCTAATAAGTATATTTTTTGAATTAAAAATGTGAATTTGTTGCAGGAAGTACTTTTTTTCCACTGATAGTGCCAAATGAGCTTTGATTTTCCTTGCTTCTGCTACCGTTTCAAGTCTGGGGCTTGAACATCTTAAAGCTACAACATACATGCCTAAAAGAGTAACAGTGGAGTGAATTGAATTCAATGTCTGAAATGAAAGTATCATTGTCTTGTTTTTTCTTGGCATTTGTCTTTTACCATCAGATTCATTGAAACTACAACAACCACATAAGGGACATGGAAGTCTCAACCTCGGAGTCGGAGCAGGCAAATGAATGGCGCAATTCCCATGAGTCAATGGCGCCTATAAGCCCTACACTTCGACCTAAGAAACAACCCTAACCTAGGTCACAAAGCAATCAATGTTCTGTTAACAGTAACACCAAGCCCTTGATCAACATACAGCTAATTTAAGATATCATTTATTCTATTCTGCTTCTTATTTAGCTCTACATTTATTTGATGAAATTAACTGTGTAACTTTTTATAAAAATAGAATTTATTCACAAAATGCTTTTTGGATGAACAAAGAAATAACAGAATATATACGGAAAAACTATAAAAATCACAAGAAATAAACATATTATTCATCCATTTTTTTATTTTTATTTTTTTGCTTAAATCCTATAAAAATTAAGAAGGGAAAGGAAATTGTGACAAACAGATTGTGGCATCATGAAAAGGTTACAAATATGCCTTAAGGGATATATCAAATTGGATAAGAATTCTGACTTGTTGGTGGAAGGTTTGGTGGGAAAGAACACAAGCACAGTAGAATGGCCAAAAAAAAAAAATTTCTAGATTCAAAAGTTTCATTTTTGGGAATAAAGAATGTAGAAACTGATTGGAATTCATTAAATGAGTAGGACCCAAACTGTAAATAGACACTGACATTGAAATAGAATGACTGGAATTACTCAGAGAGAAAAGAGGCGGGAAATACGCAAAATACCTGTAACTCCTCTTTCATCAACATTCCATGGGAATTGAATTCCCCCCCACCATCCCTTCCCCCGCACGAGTCAACTCAGCGATTCAAAACAGGAAAAACACACACACACACACGCGCATAAGGGCACTCATCTGACCAGCTTGTGACACTGTCAAATCTGACTGACACTATCTTTTTTTTTTTCTCCTTCCTCTCTCACATCTATCATCATTAACGCATAATTGCCCACCCCAGGGCTGGAAGGGGTGGGGCCCTCGAAGGTGGGGGAAGAGAGATAGCGAATGTTGGAACACCACGTGTCCGAGATGTCAGCTTCTCCGGACACCAACGTGGTCTTGTCTCCTCCTGGGCGATGGGGCCCACAGGAGAAAAATTAAAAAAAAAGGGAAAAATGGAAAAAAACCAGTTACCGTACGTGGGGGCATTTAATACAAGCACGTGGAAGGAGGGGGTTAGGGGTCTTTTCCAACTCCCACAGCGTACGATGTGGGCGCATCCCAGCCGTCCATCTCCTTCGATGAACACTTCCCGCTTTCCCACACGAATGACAAAGCTCCTTTTGACTTGTGTTTTCTTCGAGTTGGGGCTTTCATCTCATTAATTTCTACCCATTCCTTTTCCACGCGCTCTCTCCATTCCTATTTTCACCATTTTTTTTATTTTATATTTAAAATATTTTTTTATCTCATTTTCTTAACTAAAAACTCTAATTTTTAATCTTAAATCAAGAACCATGTTAATATAAGAAATTTACTAAATACATAATAAAAAATTCTGAAAGGAGTTGAAGATTTTCGTCCTTTTATTTGTGGGTTGGTTTTGCAAATTCTAATTTATGAAAATTATTATTTTTAATATTTATTAAATGATTATATTCTTTGTTGAAGGGGTAAATAATAAAATTGGACTATATAGTTTATATCTCAGAAACAAAAAAAATAAATAATTGTTGATACACGCGCCATGAAGTGAGAGCATGAGGAGGGAGAGAAAGGAGATAGTTTGAAGCGTCGACGTCGGCGATTAATTTCGGTTCCTCGTTACTTGGGCTATTTGTTTCCCCCTCTTCCATTGCTCACGCTGACACCCGCCCCCCCCCATTACTTGTAACGGGCAAAATCTTACTCACATTGCATATTCTTTTCTTTTTATTTTCTTCCTTTGTTATCTTAAATAAAATCTTCATATAAATTTTATTTACTTTGTCTTACAAATGGATGTTCATGGTCAGTGGTCATACACAAACACCACAAAAAAAAAAATTCCCTATGAAATTAATTTTGTCAAAAAAATACCCTTTTTCCATAGAGTTTCGATGGAATTTTAATGAAAAGTTTTATCGAAAATAGTCTTTTAATTGTAGTGAAATTTCAATTAGTAGGAAAAGGGTTTTCATTGAAGAAATTCAAATTTGAAAAAAAGAAAAATAATGAATGAAATTAGTAAAAGGAAGTAAAAAAGAAAAGGGCTTTGGCAACTTTGAGGAGCCAACCAACCGTGAACAGAAGAAATGAATGTGGAGATAGAAAAAGTCACTAACTCCCTGAGACTAATAAAAAAGTACTTGTTGTTTGATTGTTTCTTCTTTTTGAAAGTCCAATAATAAGGTAATGATGAAAGAATGGGCTTCTCTTTCAACCCCTATGCCATATCAGTCATCAATAATAGCATTAGGGTTCTTAGTTCTAACTCCAAAGTTGTAACTTTTATATTAGAATAGAATCTATTTCTCGTCTTTCGAATAATTTAATTGATGATTTTGTTTGTTTTTTTTTTTTTTGTAAATGAAGTTGAAATTGACATCTTGAAATTTATCGATCTTATAACAACGGATATTTTTTTCAATAACTTTTGTTGAGTGTGTGGTTTTCAACTCTGCGAATAAATTTTAAATTATCATACTATTTTTGAATTAAATTTTATTATTTTTTGAATAAATAACCCAAAATCAAAACCCTGTTGCTTATGTTGGAAAACAGAAGGGAGTTGTCCCCACAAAATCAAACTGTAACATGCATCATAAAGGCAAACACAATGGACAAATGCATTCCCACAAAGATTTTTCAGTCAAAAGTTTTGGTTGCATAAACAAGTCATGCCATCCCATACAAATGTTGTCCCCACTCCACCTAGTGATCATCATCCACATACCTAATAATGATTTAAAGCCTTAACCAACTCTCTTTTCTTTTAGAAAAAACAATCTATATTTTTAATTCAATAAAGAACCCAAAGACTTATTTCAACCACAAATCAAGGAAAAAGGAAAACAATCGCCATACTTCTCTCCAAGTACATTTACAGTTAATTTTAATATCACAAATTTCATATTAATAAGAGATATTTTTTAAATTAAAAACGTTAACCCATGACACTTCTTATAACTTATAAAACTAAATATTTATTAGGTTGGAATCATTTACTGAGATTCTTTATTAGTCTATTAGGGTGTTTGTTTGAGAAAGTAATTGGTGGAATGGGCAGCATGCAGTTGAAAGGGAGAATAATTGAGTGGCAGGAGTTGGTAATGGTAGAGGGTGAAGTGGTAAAACAGGAAAAAAACACGTTTCTTTTTTAACTTTTAAGCCTGTACCATGCTTACGGTTTAAGTTAACTTTCCCGAAACGTTTTCAGTGAGAAAAGAAAAGCACAATTACGGAAAATTTTTTCTTTTTTCTTTTCTCTCTGTGTGGTTATTCTCAACGACAAAAGGCCATAGCTCCGAGGCGCGTGACCTAAAATTAATACAAGTTCTTTTAATTTATGCAGTGTTTGGATAAATTTTAAAGAAATCTTATTTCTCTTTGTTTGAT